AATGAAAGCACTGGTGGGAGAGGAGGCAAGTGGGTTCTTCTCTGTTGTTGAGCTGTTAACTGGTTGGTGGCTGCTTCTGACACCTAAGATACAACAAAACCTGGTTTGACTTATGCATATATTCATTTGAGGGATCATTTGTACACTGTTTGTCGAGATATTGGATAGACCAAGGTCTCAACCGGGAAAAGGTGCTGCTCTGGAAAGAGGCGAATCTCCTACGTTCAGGCACATGTGGCTTACAAAAAGCCACGAAAATCACAACCTAAACCCACACTTTTTAACTGCAGGCTGTGTACAACACCCGATTTATGCATTTAAGGTGCCTTTGAGCCTGTTTAAATCAGGAGTATATACCTCTAACTTCAAAGCAAATCTCAAGGATGAGCCAAAAAAGGTCTAGTTGAGGTTTTCTAGTGACAGTCCAGAGAGTCAAGCTGCTGTCTCGGAGCTGAGCCCCCGCACCACCGGGTGTGCACACCAGCCTGCACAGCAGACGTGGCGCCGGACGCTGGGTGCAATTTCCCAGCAAAAGCATTTCCGACAGGGAAAAAGCGCACGCACCTATTTCTAATCGACAGCTGATTTTTCCCAGCATGGAGCTTCATCAGCAATGAGGACATTGATATTTTTCACTTTTTCACCCAAAAGCTGAGATCCACTCCCACCCTTCCGCCCAACCCCGCTGCCAGCCCGAGGCAGACAGGAAGAAAAATACCCACATATCCAATAGCGACTGATGGCCATATCTAAAGAAAAACAGCGTGGGGATGTGAAGTTCCATCCGAGGCCAAAGCAGCCAACTTTCAGACTAACAAATTTACCTCTGAAAGTACTTTTGGAGGCAGAGAGGGAGCTTGTGAGCAAAGGCTCCCTGGGAAGTGCTGGGAGGTCGGTGGCTTCCCGTGAGCCATTAGGATGGCGCGTCCCAGCCCTTGAGGAGGAGAAGGTCCCTCCTAAAGAGCTGGTGGGGTCGGTGCTGGTAGCAGAGTCTCTTGTCACCCTGGCTGTGTCGCCATTTGGGGAGGAGCCCAGTGCCCCCGCTGCCACGCTGGGCATGTCAGCACCGTGGGTGTCCAAGTGCAGCGTCGCCTCTTCTGCAGCTGGGATGCTCTCGGGTTCGTAATTGCGGCTAAAGGCTAAAAAAAGGGGAAGAGAAACATAAAACTGCATACGCGTAAATGAAAACAGCTGGGTTGGTTTCATCCCGCTATCAGTGGATGCAGACGATGTATGTGTGAATACTCAATACGGAAATATTTAATACTGGGAAATCATTAAGACGGGGGGGAAAAATGGGTTTTATATAGGAACTCCTGAAGTTATTGCTTGCAAAATTCAACTAAAAGTTTTCAAGGAAAATCTATCCTCCTCTTCCAACAAGAATAATATTTATCCATACTTTCATTTCTGTGAAATGTTTTTAAATGTACAGAATGTGCCAAATACAATATTATTCCTCTTTTCTTTAAAATAAAAAGGATGTATTCTGTTTATAAAGAGTCTTTAAATAATGTTCTGAGTTATATAGCTAGCTATCAAAACTCACTCGTGGAAGCGCTTTCCAAAGCAGACAGCGAGCCCGTCGGCAACGGGCTTGTGGCACCACTGCCACCACCACCCTGGGCTCCCAAAGACATCCCAGGAGACCAGGTCTGGTCCGAAGAGCTGGTGATTTCAATACCAGCGGTTGAAATCTCTGCTGTGTCAGCCAGTCTGGTGCTGGCTGGCAGAGACCTCAACGTCCTCCCTCCATCCTTGGTGACAGTTGTGGAAGCAGAGGGACTGGTAGGGGAGAAATCCGAAACTCTCCTCTCCGTGGTCGAGACGTTGGATGGCTGGTAGCTGCTTCCAATGGCTACGGCACAATAAAAAAGCCTGGATTTGTATGTATGAAATTATAAACAGATGGACCCATTTTCTTCCCAGATGCTCACAGCGCACATACGGATATTAAGCATAGGAAGTTTTCAATCTGGACAAAGTGCTTTTTTGGAAAGGCATGAATCCCCTCGCTGCAGGAAGACCTTGTACAAAACCTGGGGCTCGCCGCCAGCACAGCACAGCTTCGTGAGAGCCGGGGCGGCTCGGCCAGCGGGAAACCCCACAGGACAAGGACTGCGGGGACTTGCCTTTAAATCCCACCTCTGCTCTAAGACTGGTGGAAATCGGCCGAGGCTCTTTTAGCATTTTTTTGAAGCCTGAACATGGCATTGAACAGCAAAGGGAGGAAACCTGAGCACAGCCACATTCCCGTATGAGCCTACAGCTCACTACACATCCCCAGGCTTAACAACACTTAGGGAAAAATGCTTAAGGAAGTACAAAATAGGGTAAACCAACAAATCATAGAATAACCGAGCTCACCCGCAGTAGTGCTTTCTGAAGTTAGGTGAGAAGGGACGAGCGGGCGCTCCGTGGAGGGCCCGGGGAAACGTCCTCGCACCGGGGCCACCGAGGAGGATGCCGAGGCCAGGGGCTGAGCCACGGTCACTATCCTGTCGATACCGGACCTTGGGTCTTCTGCAGCCCCGCTGCTGCTCCCGGCAGCTGTGGCAGAGGGAAGGGACATGTCAATGTGAGAGCCCTGGAGATGCGTTTGCTCCTGGCAAGCCCTGGGCACAGGACAAGGACCCAGCAATGCCGAGGTTTTTGATATGTTCATGTGGAGTGGGGGAAAGCCTCTGTTTTTGAGAGCTCTAGAAATAGCTGCTTGCAAAGTAAATGAGAAGACATGGAGCCCAGAGATCTTGGGTTTGTTGTCCCATACGGGTTCATAGAATCACAGAATCATAGAATGGTTTGGGTTGGAAGGGACCTTAAAGATCATCTAGATCCACCTTCCACCAGACCAGGTTGCTCAAAGCCTCATCCAATCTGGCCTTGAACACTGCCAGGCATGGGGCATCCACAACTTCTCTGGGCAACCTGTTACAGCATTTCGCCACCCTCATTGTAAAAAATTTCTTCCTTAGATCTAATCAAAAACTACTTCCTTTCAGTTTAAATCCATTTCCCTTGTGCTATCACTACACGCCCTTGTAAAAAGTCCCTCTCCAGCTTTCTTTTGCCCCCCTTTAAGTACTGGGAAGCTGCTAGAAGGTCTCCCTGGAGCCTTCTCTTCTCCAGGCTGAACAACCTCAACTCTCTCAGCCTGTCTTCATAGCAGAGGTGCTCCAGCCCTCGGATCATCTTTGTGGCCCTCTGGACTCCCTCCAACAGCTCCATGTCTTTGTTGTATTGGGGACCCCAGAGCTGAAGGCAGTACTGCAGGTGGGGTCTCACGAGAGCAGAGTAGAGGGGCAGAATTGTCTCCCTGGATCTGCTGGCCACGCTGCTTTGGATGCAGCCCAGGATATGGTTGGCTTTCTGGCCTGCAAGCACACGTTGCCAGCTCACATTGAGCTTTCCATCAACCAGCACCTCCAAGTCCTTCTCCTCAGGGCTGCTCTCAATTCATTCTCCTCCCAGTCTGTACTCGTGCTTGGTATTCCCCAAACTCACGTGCGGGACCTTGCACTTGGCCTTGTTGAACAGCATGAGGTTCGCACAGGCCCACCTCTCAAGACTGTCAAGGTCCCTCTCAGTGGCATCCCTTCCCTCCAGCATGTCAACCACACTACACAGCTTGGTGTTATCACAGCTTGGGTTGTTGGAGCCCAGGCATCTCACTCCATCTAGCCGCGAGCAAACCCACCCAGTGCGGCTGTGAGCATGGGTTACCGATCCCACTCCTCACTACCGCACCACTCGGGTGGGACACACAGCTCAGGTGGGGCTGGGACCTCACCTTCGCTCTGCAGCTGGCACTAAACCAGACAAGGCATTTTGCAGGTGTAGATCCCCACCCTGCAGGAAACATGGTGATAAGGTCCGAAGATTCTACCCTTTTTTTTTCAAATGGAAAATGTTGAGGGTTTTTGGACCAAATGATTTTTTCCATTGCTTTATCCTGCTTTCAACAGGGAATTTCAGCTAACTATCCATCCAAATAATAACAAACACAAAGCATGCGCAAAACACAGCATCTTCCCTGTTTTAAGAGACCAAAAGCTACATAAAGGCTTTTTAAAGCCCTAAAACAAACCCATGGGCCAGCAAAGCTCACCTCTGGCAGCATTGTCCGTGGCAGGCGACGCTGTGAGCAAAGAGCTCATGGAGTCCCCTGTGACATCCCTGGGGTGTAGTGCCATGGGGTTTGCACCGCTCAGGGTACTGGAAGCTGGAGGGGAGGACTGGGGCTGTCCCGGTGCCTCGGGGAGAGGGGTGCTGGGGAGGGGCTGCACCATCCCCCCGCCC